TCACGACACCTCACATCCAGGCAGGATTCCTCCCTAATTATTAAATGGATTTAACTCCTGTAGTGTTTGAATGCTGAATACTTCACGATAACTCATATCCAGGCAGGATTCCTCCCTAATTAATAAATGGATTTAACTCTTGTAGTGTTTGAATGCTGCATACTTCACGACACCTCACATCCAGGCAGGATTCCTCCCTAATTATTAAATGGATTTAACTCCTGTAGTGTTTGAATGCTGAATACTTCACGATAACTCATATCCAGGCAGGATTCCTCCCTAATTAATAAATGGATTTAACTCTTGTAGTGTTTGAATGCTGCATACTTCACGACACCTCACATCCAGGCAGGATTCCTCCCTAATTATTAAATGGATTTAACTCCTGTAGTGTTTGAATGCTGCATCCTTCATGACACCTCATATCCAGGCAGGATTCCTCTCTAATTATTAAATGGATTTAACTCCTGTAGTGTTTGAATGCTGCAAACTTCATGACCACTCATATCCGGGCAGGATTCCTCCCTAATAAATGGATTTCGTTCCTGCAGTGTAAGAATGCTACATACTTCATGGCACCTCACATTTAGGCAGGATTCCTCCCTAATTAATAAATGGATTTAACTCCTGCGGTGTTTGAATGCTGCATACTTAATGACGCCTCATATCCAGGCAGTATTCCTCCCTAATAAATGGATTTCATTCCTGCAGTATGTGAAGGCTACATACTTCATGGCACCTCACATCTAGGGCAAAACACGCAGGATTCCTCCCTAATTAATAAATGGATTTCATTCCTGCAGTGTGTGAATGCTGCACACTTCCTGACACCTCACATCCAGACAGGCTTCCTCCTTAATTAATAAATGGATTTAATTCCTGCAGTGTATGAATGCTGCACACTTCCTGACACCTCACATCCAGACAGGCTTCCTCCTTAATTAATAAATGGATTTCATTCCTGCAGTGTATGAATGCTGCACACTTCCTGACACCTCACATCCAGACAGGCTTCCTCCTTAATTAATAAATGGATTTCATTCATGCAGTGTTGAATGCTACATACATCATGACACCCCACATCCAGGGCAAAACACGCAGGATTCCTCCCTAATTAATAAATGGATTTCATTCCTGCGGTGTATGAATGCTACATACTTCCTGACACCTCACATGCAGGGCAAAAAGCATGCAGGCTTCCTCCATAATTAATAAATGGACTTCATTCCTGCAGTGAATGAATGCTACATACTAGGGCAGCACCTTTCATATAACGGCCATCAGCATGTAGAAGTCATATGTGTCCAGGCAAAGCATGGTGGATCTGGGACAGACATGGCTGTTTGCACTTTTTACCCCCTGGGAGTGGGTTTATATATAGAGCAGGCAGACAGACAGACAGACAGATGATTATGTCCGCCGGTGACGCATATGGAAAATGTATACAGTCCCCAGGAGTGCGTCACAATCATGGCTGCCCTGCAGAAGGCACCTCTTATAGCTGGGGAATCATAATTCCTCCTCCAGACAGGGTTACACTATCAGTAGAGGGCCAAGCCTGGACAGCTTTGTTATTTTTCGGTAAACTCTGATGATGTATATTTTATTTCGCAATCTGTCCCCTGTTCTGAGTGTCTCCCCCATCCTGCCACACGTAAGGCTGAGTAGGGTCGCTCCCACCATTAGGAGGCACATTAACCACCAGAGGTGCGGATTGTGACCCCTGTCCAGATCCCCAGAGGGAGCCCCCCCTTGCTAACACTGCATCTGCCTGAAGACTAGCAGCTGTCTGTCTGTCAGTCCCCTCTCTGCTTACTCAATAAATCCAGGGGTGGGCCCAGAAACCTTACAGCACGCAGACCACCCAGACAGACCCCTTGCTACCTGCAGCACTATCCCAGACCCCCGCCAGACTCTGCCCTAATAAACAGCTTCAACCCAAACATGCTGAAATTTCCATAATATGGCGGCCTCAGCTAGGCCGCCCGCCGCTCTAACAGCGCAACATTCTTTATGGAAATTACGCAGAGAAAAGGAAAACAGATAAAATATTATTATTTCTCCTTTAACAGATATTTATTTATTTATTTATTTTGTTTAAATAAATTGTATTTTTTTATTCTAAACCCCGGAGTCTTTATTTCCTAGAACCCTTTGCGGGAGTTGGAGTAATTAAAGGTTTAATTCATTAAGTGGTCATTGCCTGACTGGAAATACGACAATATTTCAAATCCAGCAATTATGGTGTCAAATTTTAAATCCGCTCTGAATTCACTTCCAGATTCACGACAATTCTCCGTTTATTCGCTAACACTGTGCGTGTGGTATAACGTTACTGCACTACAGGTTCTTACCCAGAAGCCTTTGCTGCTTTGCGTCCGATACGTTTCTGAAAGGTCATTGTTACTGTTTAGTGTAAGTTCCAGGTGACGCTCGGTGCTGTTTGAAGCTGAAGGATAGACAGGTTTGTACTTGTTTAACACATGAGCTCATCCAATGTTCCTTTTTCTATTTTTTGCCGTTGGCTAAACTCATGGACACGTTGTATAATGACCGACGTCCTGGCTTTAGCGCTGCCAATACATGTAAACCCCAAGCGCTTAGAAAATCGATTTTAATAATAATATTTAACTAGGAAATACATATTATAAGGGTAAGAAATTTCAGAAATTCTAAATAAATTTAAAATGTAAAATAGCCGTATTGGAAAATTCTCGAAATCTGCGATGCTTAGAGCTACGTCGGCGTTCACTTCGAATTCCTGACAATTCTCATTGTTAGTCTTTGCTAGTTTTCAGGAAGAATGGTGGGTCTATACATTAGTATGAGCCGAAACGAGAAGGACAATCTAACACAGTAAAACCCACACGTGGAATCGAAATCCTCTGCCTTGGCCACGATACACATTAAGCCAAATCTGTCGCTAATTCTCAGGACTTGACCCTCAGCCTCGGGGTGAATGGCTGAGTTCCCAGTATCACTCAGTGTGTTTGGACGAATTCTCGTCCAAAACAGTCAGAGACAAAGTGCGGATCACTTGTGCCACATACTGCCTGTGACGGCTGGTGAGCAGGTTATTAATACACGTGGCGTGTGATAGGCTGGTAGAATGTCAGGATCAGCTGATTGAGACAGTAATAACCAGGTAAAGGCACCGTGTTCCTCAGAATGGTGGGGGGGGGGGGATACCAGGTGGGCTAGCGCCGCCATGTGGCAATGGAAGCAAATGACACCCTAACCTGTGATAAAAATTTAAATCAATGGGGTTCATGCATTAATCTGCAAATTGTAATAATCTGAAATTAAGGCTAAATTAACCACGCACTGTAGCTGATGGTTGGAGTTATTACTGACCAGCTAGTTCATGTTACAGTTTGCAACAATTTCGATTTAGTGAATAATCCCCCATAACATCAGCATCTAAATCTTTCTAAGATATTTGCCCATCTAGTCTATACAACCAAAAACTGATTGACAATGTTGAACACATCCTAATGATTTCTTAATCACTTTATAAGTTAGTCTTTACCACTTCCACTGGAAGGCTATTCCAGGTATCTACTACCCTTTCTATATCACTGTTACTGCTCCCACTGGGAGGCTATTCCAGGCATCTACTACCCTTTCTATATCACTGTTACAGCTCCCACTGGAAGGCTATTCCAGGTAACTACTACCCTTTCTATATCGCTGTTACCGCTCCCACTGGAAGGCTATTCCATGTATCTACTACCCTTTCTATATCACTGTTACTGCTCCCACTGGGAGGCTATTCCAGGCATCTACTACCCTTTCTATATCACTGTTACAGCTCCCACTGGAAGGCTATTCCAGGTATCTGCCACCCTTTCTATATCACTGTTACTGCTCTCACTGGGAGGTTATTCCAGGTATCTACTACCCTTTCTATATCACTGTTACTGCTCCCACTGGAAGGCTATTCCAGGTATCTACTACCCTTTCTATATCCCTGTTACTGCTCCCACTGGAAGGCTATTCCAGGTATCTACTACCCTCTCTATATCACTGTTACTGCTCCCACTGGATGGCTATTCCAGGTATCTACTACCCTTTCTATATCACTGTTACTGCTCCCACTGGAAGGCCATTCCATGTATCTACTACCCTTTCTATATCACTGTTACTGCTCCCACTGGAAGGCTATTCCAGGTATCTACTACCCTTTCTATATCGCTGTTACTGCTCCCACTGGAAGGCTATTCCAGGTATCTACTACCCTTTCTATATCACTGTTAATGCTCCCACTGGAAGGCTATTCCAGGTATCTACTACCCTTTCTATATCACTGTTAATGCTCCCACTGGAAGGCTATTCCAGGTATCTACTACCCTTTCTATATCACTGTTACTGCTCCCACTGGAAGGCTATTCCAGGTATCTACTACCCTTTCTATATCACTGTTACTGCTCCCACTGGAAGGCTATTCTAGGTATCTACTACCCTTTCTATATCACTGTTACTGCTCCCACTGGAAGGCAATTCCAGGTATCTGCTACCCTTTCTATATCACTGTTAATGCTCCCACTGGAAGGCCATTCCAGGTATCTACTACCCTTTCTATATCACTGTTAATGCTCCCACTGGAAGGCTATTCTAGGTATCTACTACCCTTTCTATATCACTGTTACTGCTCCCACTGGAGGGCTATTCCATGTATCTACCGCCCTTTCTATATCGCTATTAGCCTTTAGTACATGCTTACTACTAGACTGTAAGATCGTCTGAGCAGGGTCCTCATCTACCTATTGTTCCTGTTACATTTCATTATTGTCTCATTTGGTAAAATCCCCTCTTATTGTAAAGTGCTGCGGAATAAACTGGCGCTATATAAATACCAATAATAATAACCAATAATAATACCAATACAGTAAATTGTGAGTTATGTGAATGAAGGATCATGGTTATCTGTTTTCCTGACCAAGCAGGATAGAAAGCCTTAGCAGACGCTGTTGGATTTAATTGAATCAGCAGCTGATATCATTCTGTGTCAGCCGACCCCTAGTTGATGTGTTCGGATTACTGGGGGGTCTGTTTGATTTCAGTTTGTGATAGATATGTTTGAAGCTCTACACCCCATGCAAGTTTATTTATTACAAAGATTTAAAGCTTACGTCACTTCTCGTCCAACAGGAGGTTTACAGCAAACTCTGTCGACTTATCGCCTTCCAGAAACAGGGATGCAATAATGGGAAGCACGTGATTCCGGCCAGAAGCTGAGATCTGAAGTTATGGTTTTTCCCTGACTGTTATTGTGACCCCATGTCATCTGTCTCCCAAGCCGTCGCCTCGCCGATTCCTCTGCCATCAGAGGTCAATAGACAGTATCCGCTCAGTCTCTGATACACAACGATCATTTAAACACAGCCACATGTGCCGAGTCTGACATTGCTTTTACTTTAAATGGCTTTTTACGTAAATCTCACAGATTTCACAATTCTATTAATGTCATTAACCTCCGAGCAACGACGTGTGATATCGGCTCGTCAGCCCATCGCAATATCTCTGCTGTCGTTATAAAGTTTAAGGAATTGTAGGACAAAAGTCATGATTTGCAAAATGACTGAATTTAACAAACGTCAGCCATTTTCCCAGTTCAGCTATTTAACTTTAAAACGTGCCTTTTCCCAAATACACCATTTTTAACACACTTCAATTATTTAGTGAATAAAACCCACAGTTTGTAAAATGAGTTTAATAAAAAAAAAAAAATAAGCAGTAGAGTATTTTTCTGATTTGTCTCTCAGTTAATAAACCAGATGTGAGAGTATTTACGTGAAATTGAAAGATATTAGAACGTGAATTGCCGGATTTCTTTTTTGTAAATATCTTTTCATTAAACCTTTCGTTTTTGTTGATTTTGCAACATGTCAAAGAGAAACGTGGACTCACAGGTCCCTCTGGTCATTCACAGAAGCTTATACATCGGAAGGCATGTGATGACATACGTGTCTGGGCGACTCGCAGGTCGTGAATTGCCGGATTTCACCAAATTACAAATATTAGATTAAAATAGCCAAAGCTAAAAATGATCAGCTATCGCTGGCCGTAAATTTTACATTTTCAGATAATCCTGTTGGCAAAGATTTCCCCTAGATTAGAATTCAAGTTAAAATATCTCTTTAGGAAAAACTCTCACACTCAACTATAGAAACAATTTCAATTCAGACAAACTCACAGTTTAGTGAATTAGCCTCGGAAAACCCTCACTAGAGAAGGATTGGGAAGATCTGAGCTGAGAAGTTACAGTTTAACACTTTGTTGTCAGTTTAGAATTTTTTATTCTGTTGTGAATAATCTCGAGGAGGAACGGCTGTGTGTATGCGGATGGCATTTAATAAAATCCGGGATAAACCTGTTAGCAGGAGTTTTTTGTCATTATACTCCTGGAAATGTCTGTGTTATTGAAGCTCCATTTACATACAATTCAGGGTTAATGCACTTATACCGTTACCTTTGATGTAAAATAATGTTGACTGATTCTTCCATTCTTATCTTCCCAGACCCACAATAGGTTTCCTCCAATGCTTGTTTACTGTGTCAGAGAATAATAGTCAGATCTCATCCTTACATTAAGGGGAAGTCCCTCAACCTCAATCAGTAGTTTTACTGCTTAGAGTCCACCTGTAAAAAGTTAAAAGTATTTTATAGATATTGTGTCGCCATACGCCAGTGATTTAACACCCCAAACCCTCTGCTTCCTGGACAGTACAGAGAGATCTCAATAACTGTGTCGCCATGTGTGAAATGTTGCAATAGCCGTTACATTCTTCAAGTTCTAAGATTAGTTCTAGATTTTGAAACATTAATTTCGGTGTAAACTAGTAGCCATTCTGGCCGCCTTCCGTCCTGCAGAGTCCAGCAGTTCTAGCAATATTACAGGCTTGAGATTTGTGTTGAGTTTAAGAGACAAGTCTTATTCTTAAGACCCACAATAAAGTTAATGTTCAAAAGATAGATTATGACAATTCATCCAGACATTCGCTCGCTATAACTATAACATTCACTTATTATAACTATAACATCACTAACTATACTTATAACATTCACTCGCTATAACTATAACATTTGCTCACTATAACTATAACATCACTAACTATACTTATAACATTCACTCGCTATAACTATAACATTTGCTCACTATAACATTCACTCGCTATAACGATAACATTCACTCGCTATAACAATAACATTCACTCGCTATAACTATAACATTCGCTCGCTATAACTATAACATTCACTCGCTATAACAATAACATTCACTCGCTATAACTAACATTCACTCGCTATAACGATAACATTCACTCGCTATAACAATAACATTCACTCGCTATAACTAACATTCGCTCGCTATAACTATAACATTCACTCGATATAACGATAACATTTACTCACTATAATGATAACATTCGCTTGCTATAACGATAACATTCACTCACTATAACTATAACATTCACTTGCTATAACGATAACATTCACTCACTATAACTATAACATTTGCTCACTATAACGATAACATTCACTCGCTATAACGATAACATTCACTCAGTATAATGATAACATTCACTTGCTATAATGATAACATTCGCTAGCTATAATGATAACATTCGTTTGCTATAACGATAACATTCAACCGCTATAACGATAACATTCGCTAGCCAAATTATAGGCCACCCAAATTAGAAGAGCGGTTCTGCCGCCAGAGATGTTCTTTTCCCCCTAGTGGGAGGGATGCTGTAAAGCAGAGCAGGAAGAGCTCTTACAAGCTCACTCCAAGCAGAGGGGAGACAGCTGTTTTAGCTTTCTCCCACAAATATGAGACAAGGCTCTATGCTGTGGGACAACTGGTTTTAATGGAGCCACACACAGCCTTTTATGACAATCCCCATGCAAGGGGCACTCCCCTTGGACCTGAGCGTAGACTAAGGTACAAACATACATGCGATTACATTGGCTCTCAGGTCCAGGACACTCCCATACAAAATAAGACAATCCCTCCCCTGTGCCTGGGAGATAACTGGATCGGGAACTATGCTAACTTAATTATCTTCAGGCAAAAAACACACATTGGAAAACAAGAGAGAGGTTGGCGAACACAATGGATAGTTATTCAACAATCTGTAATAAATATAACAGAATCTTCATAGGGCAACATATATGAGGAAATATTCAAATATATGTATAACAGGAAAAACTCACAATTTAGAGAGCCATATAAGTCGGCTCTCTACTGTAATAGCAGGTAAGTAGTCCCAAAACGACAGGTGGCCGCAGTGGTGATGGTCCCCCAGGAAAAAGGATGCTTCAAGTCCTTCTGGATAAAATTCAGGAACCCGATAGTAGCTTAAAATACTTTATTAAATAAAAATCAAAATAGCAGCAACAGCACAACGTGTTTCGACCAATAAACTGGTCTTTCTCAGGAGCATAAAGATAAAATGAATATTACAGGCTTAAATACCTAACATATCAGATAACAATAAAAAACATATGTGAATCATTACAAACACCCTTCCCAACTTGTCCATATATGGCAGTTCCGTTTTTATTAAGCCTCCTCCAAAATGGTGGTCTATGTCTCACTGCTGTCCAGTGGGGGCCGACCTTTTCATGATGACCACCATTTTGGAGGAGGCTTAATAAAAACGGAACTGCCATATATGGACAAGTTGGGAAGGGTGTTTGTAATGATTCACATATGTTTTTTATTGTTATCTGATATGTTAGGTATTTAAGCCTGTAATATTCATTTTAGCTTTATGCACCTGAGAAAGACCAGTTTATTGGTCGAAACACGTTGTGCTGTTGCTGCTATTTTGATTTTTATTTAATAAAAAAGTATTTTAAGCTACTATCGGGTTCCTGAATTTTATCCAGAAGGACTTGAAGCATCCTTTTTCCTGGGGGACCATCACCACTGCGGCCACCTGTCGTTTTGGGACTACTTACCTGCTATTACAGTAGAGAGCCGACTTATATGGCTCTCTAAATTGTGAGTTTTTCCTGTTATACATATATTTGAATATTTCCTCATATATGTTGCCCTATGAAGATTCTGTTATATTTATTACAGATTGTTGAATAACTATCCATTGTGTGCGCCAACCTCTCTCTTGTTTTCCATATTTAATGTAAGTGTTTAAGGTGATATAAAACTTGTGTGGTTTGAGACGCACTGGGATATACGTCACCTTCTTATAGCGCCACCTATACACCTCTTTGTTGTTAAAAAAAACACATTTTCAGCAGTACCCTGAAAGTATCCCTAAAACCCATGGAAACCCCCCAAAAAGTTACATCCCCTGATAGCCCCATTCTGGGTGACCAACATATCCAAAATTCACCCAGATCGGTCAGGGGTTCGGGATTTCCATGGAAGTCACATTTTGACCGACCGCACACGAGGCTCCTGCACAAAAGTGTTCCATGAATTCAGGCTGTGCGGTCGGTCTCTTTCGGGAATACCCAATATAGTCACAAATACCAAACGTAACAGTTAGTGGATAGGTTTAGTCTATGTCTCTCATTCCGGAGCTTGCTCCCACCGAACACTGTTCAATTCCCATCCGTTTAGCCGAACATCAACGGAAGGGATGTTCTAGCGGTGTTCGCACCGTCGAGTGTCCGATTTGGGTTCCATGCACTCAACAACCAAACACCACTCTTTGTGTTCGCGGCTAAAGATGGCCGCCGCCACCACGTGTTCACATGTCGAACGGCGACCACTTAGAATTCTTGCGGTTTAGGACTGTTAATGAGGTGACAGGGGTTAGTAAGTGGCACACTCCTCATACGGGTGGTCCGGTAGTTCATTCGGTAGGGGAATGGAATAAAATACAAAAATGAAGGAGAATGAAATGTCCCGAACACATAGACGAATGAAACAAAGGGATTACAATTCCAGGGACTGGGTGAAGTGTCACATATAAGTTAAAGAAAAATCTGAGAGCATCCCCTCCTCTCATCTAAAAATCAATTTCCAGAATTGGCAGAGGTCTATGCCAATCAAATAGCATGTGCTGACTATTTACCAACAGACGGGAGAAGAACTTCCCTAAAGTGTTATATTATTAAATTATATTCGAGGAGATATTAGCAGTAAAAGGGACCCAAACTATACTCTTATTGAAGTGGTCTGGGTGCAGTGTCTCAGGAATGTTAGGGCCCCTTACACAGCTTAAGGTTGCCTCCGGGGCCTGTCCCTGAATCCGACCACAAGGCCCACCTTGAGTCTACCCGCAAGGATGCAGTGTGCGTGTATGTATATATATGTAGGTAGGATAGGGGCTGCATTCTGTGGGCAACAAATACTTTTTCTTTTTTAATCTAAAAAAAATAATTTCTATTTTATTCCCCCCTCCCTGCTTCTTAACTGTGGCCACTGAGGGGGGCATTACACTCCCTGATGGTTCAGTGGCATTGTGCCGGCTGTATATGAAGAAGGGGCCCAGCACATGCAATCTTCACTCTCCGGCAGCCTCTCTCTCTCTAGCCCAGCCTATATGATGCGCAGAGCGCTGCCGTAGTAACCCGCGGCAATGTTTGGACGGCTAGAGGCTGTGGGAGAGTGGCGGTGGATTACAAGGTCACGGAGAGACTTTGTCTCTCTGAAGTGTCCGAGTAAAACAGGACCATCACAACTGCCACGTTCTGAAGGCGGCCCTGCCTGTCTGTTTAACCTGCAACTGGTACGATTGTTGATTTGCAGGAATGGCAATGTTTTCATTCCTGGGTTAATGTCTCTGACAGGAAGAGGTGTCACTAGAGGTATTTCTGAATTTAAAAACAGGAATAATAGGTTGCGCTACATAAAATGGAAAGGGATAAATATGTCAAACACTTTTAAACATAAATAGGGAGAAATATATAAAAAAAAGGATTTAATAAATATATAAAAGATATATATAAAAAGAATGATAGTCCAAATTCTTGATATACTTTTGATAAGTTCAAATGAGTGAATGATAGTAACAGTACTTGGTATATTTCTCTTTCAGGTTCCGGTAAGTATATGGGGGTAGAGAGTCCAATAAGAGACTGGATCTTCTAGTCTTTAGAGGAGTCTTGATTCGGAGGTGAACATGGAAAATATAAACAACAAAGACGATCCAATAGTGTAGACTGTCTATTGTAAAAAAAAATAATAGGTAGGTAATACACTCACCTATCTTAGAGCATAGACTCGCTCTAGTATGTTGGGCGTTCAGTGGCGTTTATCCCCCACTGGTAGGATATAGGTGAAGGTAATTCCTCGGTTATAGAAAAGAGATAAAAGCAGAATATAGTGCTCACTGAATATAAATGAAATAAAATAAAATAAAAGAATAAAAATACTCCCATTCGAATGAGCAGGATAGACTGCTCAGTATATTCGCATAGGTGGTACAATCCCCACCCAGGATTCTTGGTCGTGAGTAGGCTCCAAGATAATGAATGACCAGGTGACAGGAAGTTTTAAAAATGAAATAAAAAGGTATATGGCAAAATTGCTGTAAAGAAGCCACTATTCCTTTATTAATACAATAAAAAATATATAAAATAGCTATTTGGCTATTTTATATATTTTTTATTGTATTAATAAAGGAATAGTGGCTTCTTTACAGCAATTTTGCCATATACCTTTTTATTTCATTTTTAAAACTTCCTGTCACCTGGTCATTCATTATCTTGGAGCCTACTCACGACCAAGAATCCTGGGTGGGGATTGTACCACCTATGCGAATATACTGAGCAGTCTATCCTGCTCATTCGAATGGGAGTATTTTTATTCTTTTATTTTATTTTATTTCATTTATATTCAGTGAGCACTATATTCTGCTTTTATCTCTTTTCTATAACCGAGGAATTACCTTCACCTATATCCTACCAGTGGGGGATAAACGCCACTGAACGCCCAACATACTAGAGCGAGTCTATCCTCTAAGATAGGTGAGTGTATTACCTACCTATTATTATTTTTTACAATAGACAGTCTACACTATTGGATCGTCTTTGTTGTTTATATTTTCCATGTTCACCTCCGAATCAAGACTCCTCTAAAGACTAGAAGATCCCGTCTCTTATTGGACTCTCTACCCCCATATACTTACCGGAACCTGAAAGAGAAATATACCAAGTACTGTTACTATCATTCACTCATTTGAACTTATCAAAAGTATATCAAGAATTTGGACTATCATTCTTTTTATATATATCTTTTATATATTTATTAAATCCTTTTTTTTATATATTTCTCCCTATTTATGTTTTAAAGTGTTTGACATATTTATCCCTTTCCATTTTATGTAGCGCAACCTATTATTCCTGTTTTTGCCATTTCTCTTTTGAGGACTTCAGAGGGAACCTCATATCTATAGGTTGCAGCTCTCTACTTGACCATATCACGCAGCGCTGATCCGTTTTCTACCTATTTCTGAATTTAACTCTGTTACAGCTCGAATTACTCTCTTTGTATTGGCTGGGATTATGGAGGCCAGAGAAGCACACCATCAGCACAGAGATCAGTAGCCGCAGGATGTAAAATAAGTCAATCTACAAATTGCTAAACGCAAGAGAAAAAAGCCCATTCGCTACAGTTTGAATAATAATGATTAATGGCTACCAGCTAAAGTGTGGATTCCAAGTGAACTTTACATTTCAGAACTAAATAGCCAAGCTGGAAAGAAACCTGACTTGGAAAATGTTTCCAATTCAGCGATTTTGGCTTCTTATATAAAATTTATTTTAAATGCCCCCTCAAGTCCCACTTTAATGAATAACTGGGAATACGTTCGACATTACTCTCTGGCACCATCATGTGGTAAGAGAGATGTATGCCACCTAAGCAATATACAATTTTAAACATATGTTTAATAAGTAGTTACCCCCAGTATAAACATAAGGGGGGTAACTGAAAAGAAGGGAAATCAGGGAATCGATCATGCATGATTATGACCAATATCTTGTTCGATACAATAAAAGAAAGGTTTGCCATTTTCAAAGACATTGACCTACACAAATATTTTTATAAAAGAAATAGTAAGGACCAATCTGCATTGTAATACGTATACATTGACTTTATATCCGGAGTTAATATTAGGGAATAACTGACCGCATTGACCTAATGAGCCTCTTTTTACCATTCTCCTCCTAAGATTCCCAGATTTGCTCTCACTATAAGATGGGAGAAGAGGTCTGCCTGGTGATGGCCAATTCATTGACCTTATTTTCAAGGACCAAAGAGATAGTTTTGTTTTTAGTGGGGACCATCTGAAATTCTCAATATCTTGGTAGAACAGAGGATTCTGCTATTAGTATTATTTCAGGCGTGCTAATTATGTTAGGAATATCAGTTTGTTCCCAGCCCCCCATACCTTTTATTTCTTTGTAATGTGGCCAGTGTTATCCTGTACATTTCATTTTTCCAAAGAAATGTATTTATATCAGAATGGATCTTTTTACGGAAGGTGTTAGGAATACTTAGTGGAACAGTTCTTAGTTGATATAACATTTTTGAAAAGATATTCATTATTAATGCAGCTATGCTGCCCAACAATGCCAATTAAAAACGTCGCCATTCCGTGGTTATTCAATAACTTCTTCCCTATAAAAGCGAATTAACACCTGGATGGCACAATCAAGGGTGAACTAGCAGAGCTTTGATTACAACTGAGATGGAGAATTTTTCCAGATTAAATAATTTAGCCTATATTTTACTATTCATATTCTGATATTTTTAGTAAATAAGTTTGTAATGATAATGAAGGACATATAAATGAGAGAGTCTCGAGATATTAGCCTTTTGTTAGAATGTAACGGTACTTTTTCATAGATTAATCGCTCTATATAACTTGAGGCCACCCCCTGTCTAAACTACAGACGTTTTAGCAATATGAATGGTTTTAAGTTCCAAACATCTGAATTATACGGAGTATTAAGGATTGCCCAATATACTCTTTTATATAAATTCAGTACACTTGTGAGGGATCAGAATGCATTTCCAGCAGATATGATTATTTATTGATTATTGTTCAACCGTAACATAATAATAAAAATAAGATTGAATAAGGCAGAAGCGCGCTGAGTGCCAGGTTTATCCCACGGCGAGTTGCGACACGTTCAGTGTAACATGGCGTCTGGGCTGTAATCAGGGGCAGCTGAAATCCCACACCTAATACAGAGAGAGAAGGATGGTTCAAAAAGTTTTATAACAAGGAGCTTGGAAATAAATAATTTACTACTTCGAGAGGACAGATCTATTAATCTTCTATTATAAAATTTACATTTATTCAGCTTTAAATTAAAATTATATAAAAAAGAACCGTGGACCGTGGTCAGTCGCCCTTATTAATGTTTTATCTAATCGATGGAAACATACATCCCATATCTATAGCCCTGGAAGAGGAAGCACTGGGCCAGCTCTGACCTACACTGACCTACACACACTGATCCACAGGGCACAGCCAGGGCACAGACGCTTGCTACACATGATGGGGAATCAGGCAGCCAGTCCCCTTCCAAATCAGACGCACAGCTCTAGGACATTCTCCTGCAGTATACGCAGTATACGAGAACTAAAATATACTTTCAGGGGATGGCTCTGTATGCCATCATCCTGTGACCTTCTATTCTCATTACCTGCCCCATCGTCTTTACTGACACAGCTTTATTTAAACTCATTGAAGGTGGCTCAGAAATGGCTAAATAAAAAGTAATGTGTGCTTATCTTATATCAGTTGACCATAAGACTTACCCCCAAACTCTCGCATGGCCCCTACCCCACACTGACCACATCAGAAACTTACTCTCAATTCACATACTGGGTCAGAGCTCTACAGCGCCCTCTACTGATAAGGATTGGCATTGCCCTCACCACTGGAACTGGAAGTACAAGCCAAGTAAATACTTGGCCAAACACAGAGAATGTTTAGTAAATGGGGATCGTAGGTATTTACTGTGAGCAACTTACATCAGTCTTTACCTCCACCTTGCCGGGCATGAGGTAATGTTCCTCCTGGACGATGGTGCTCGGGAAATATCCTAACCGAGACGCACTCTCACCATAATCAGCTTCAACCTGGAAAAACACAGAGACCGGTGTCTGTGCTGTATCTGTGCTTTGTCTGCGCTGTATCTGTGCTGTTTCAGCACTGTGTCTGTGCTGTATCTGCGCTGTGTCTGTATCTGCACTAACACTAAGTCTGTGCTGTATCTGCACTGTGTCTGTGCTGTGTTTGTGCCACGTCTGGGCTGCGTCTGTGTTGTATCTGTGCTGTATCTGTGCTCTGTCTGTGCTTTATCTGCGCTGAGTCTGTATCTGCGCTAAGTCTGCACTGTGTCTGCACTATGTCAGTGTCGCATCTGTGTTGTGTCTGCGCTGTGTCTGTGCTCTGTCTGCATTGTGTTTGTGCTGTATCTGTGCCTATACTGTGTCTGCGCTGTGTCTATGCTGTGTCTATGCTGTGTCTGCATCTGCACTGCGTCTGTGCTGTGTCTGTATCTTCACTATGTCCGTGCTGTGTCTGCGTTGTATCTGTGCTGTTTATGTGCCTGTACTGTGCCTGTGCTGTATCTGTGCTCTGTCTGTGTTGTGTTTGCGCCGTATCTGTGCTGTATCTGTGTCTGCGCTGTATCTGTGCCCGTGTCTGTGCTGTGTCTGCGCTGTTTTAATCTGTGTGTATTACTCAGTATTAGTGTGATAGTTACTGTGTATTAGTGTAATAGTTACTCAGTATTAGTGTAATAGTTACTCAGTATTAGTGTAATAGTTACTCAGTGTGATAGTTACTCAGTATTAGTGTAATAGTTACTCAGTATTAGTGTAATAGTTACTCAGTATTAGTGTAATAGTTACTCAGTGTGATAGTTACTCAGTATTAGTGTAATAGTTACTCAGTATTTGTGTGATAGTTACTCGGTATTAGTGTAATAGTTACTCAGTGTGATAGTTACTCGGTATTAGTGTAATAGTTACTCAGTATTTGTGTGATAGTTACTCAGTTTTTGTGTGATAATTACTCAGTGTGATAGTTACTCAGTGTAATAGTTACTCAGTATTAGTGTAATAGTTACTCAGTATTTGTGTGATAGTTACTCGGTATTAGTGTAATAGTTACTCAGTATTAGTGTAATAGTTACTCAGTGTGATAGTTACTCAGTATTAGTGTAATAGTTACTCAGTACTAGTGTAATAGTTACTCAGTATTAGTGTAATAGTTACTCAGTATTAGTGTAATAGTTACTCAGTATTTGTGTGATAGTTACTCAGTACTAGTGTAATAGTTACTCAGTACTAGTGTAATAGTTACTCAGTATTAGTGTAATAGTTACTCAGTATTAGTGTGATAGTTATAGTTACTCGGTATTAGTGTAATAGTTACTCAGTGTGATAGTTACTCGGTATTAGTGTAATAGTTACTCAGTATTTGTGTGATAGTTACTCAGTTTTTGTGTGATAATTACTCAGTGTGATAGTTACTCAGTGTAATAGTTACTCAGTATTAGTGTAATAGTTACTCAGTATTTGTGTGATAGTTACTCGGTATTAGTGTAATAGTTACTCAGTATTAGTGTAATAGTTACTCAGTATTAGTGTGATAGTTACTCAGTATTTGTGTGATAGTTACTCGGTATTAGTGTAATAGTTACTCAGTATTAGTGTAATAGTTACTCAGTTTTTGTGTGATAATTACTCAGTGTGATAGTTACTCAGTGTAATAGTTACTCAGTATTAGTGTAATAGTTACTCAGTATTTGTGTGATAGTTACTCGGTATTAGTGTAATAGTTACTCAGTATTAGTGTAATAGTTACTCAGTATTAGTGTGATAGTTACTCAGTATTTGTGTGATAGTTACTCGGTATTAGTGTAATAGTTACTCAGTATTAGTGTAATAGTTACTCAGTTTTTGTGTGATAATTACTCAGTGTGATAGTTACTCAGTGTAATAGTTACTCAGTATTAGTGTAATAGTTACTCAGTATTTGTGTGATAGTTACTCGGTATTAGTGTAATAGTTACTCAGTGTGATAGTTACTCAGTATTAGTGTAATAGTTACTCAGTATTAGTGTAATAGTTACTCAGTGTAATAGTTACTCAGTACTAGTGTAATAGTTACTCAGTATTAGTGTAATAGTTACTCAGTATTAGTGTAATAGTTACTCAGTATTTGTGTGATAGTTACTCAGTACTAGTGTAATAGTTACTCAGTACTAGTGTAATAGTTACTCAGTATTAGTGTAATAGTTACTCAGTATTAGTGTAATAGTTACTCAGTATTAGTGTGATAGTTACTCGGTATTAGTGTAATAGTTACTCAGTATTTGTGTGATAGTTACTCAGTATTTGTGTGATAGTTACTCGGTATTAGTGTAATAGTTACTCAGTATTAGTGTAATAGTTACTCAGTGTGATAGTTACTCAGTATTAGTGTAATAGTTACTCAGTGTGATAGTTACTCAGTATTAGTGTAATAGTTACTCAGTATTAGTGTGATAATTACTCAGTGTGATAATTACTCAGTGTTAGTGTGATAGTTACTCAGTGTGATCGTTACTCAGTACTTGTGTGATAGTTACTTAGTATTTAGTGTAATAGTTACTCAGTATTTGTGTGATAGTTACTCGGTATTAGTGTAATAGTTACTCAGTATTAGTGTAATAGTTACTCAGTATTAGTGTGATAGTTACTCAGTATTTGTGTGATAGTTACTCGGTATTAGTGTAATAGTTACTCAGTATTAGTGTAATAGTTACTCAGTTTTTGTGTGATAATTACTCAGTGTGATAGTTACTCAGTGTAATAGTTACTCAGTATTAGTGTAATAGTTACTCAGTATTTGTGTGATAGTTACTCGGTATTAGTGTAATAGTTACTCAGTGTGATAGTTACTCAGTATTAGTGTAATAGTTACTCAGTATTAGTGTAATAGTTACTCAGTGTAATAGTTACTCAGTACTAGTGTAATAGTTACTCAGTATTAGTGTAATAGTTACTCAGTATTAGTGTAATAGTTACTCAGTATTAGTGTAATAGTTACTCAGTGTGATAGTTACTCAGTATTAGTGTAATAGTTACTCAGTATTAGTGTAATAGTTACTCAGTATTTGTGTGATAATTACTCACGCTCCCAGACCAGAACAATCTTCCTTTCCCTCTCAGCTTGGAATAGATGTAGATAGTTTGTCCACGTCGGATGGGGATGAAGCGACAGTCTGGTGGGATGTAGTCGGCTAAAGCCACGGCCATGGAGATGGGATCTGAGGACACGAAGGGGACAAGCAGAGCTCAGGGACCAGGAATTATTTTTTTTTCTGTCCAAGCGACTCATTCTTGCATGATATCTACATATTGTCTACTTACGGCTACATTCCTCGTCTGCGCAGAGTTTCCTCTCTGCCAGTTTGGGCATCTTTCTGCCTCCTATGGCATCCTTCAAGAAGAAACAGAGGAGAAGACACAGAACCCTCCAAACCATGATGGCTGCTGTCCACTCTCCGTGGGCACTGAGTTCTCAAACATCACCGAGAAGTGTTCAAGGCAATACCTTGCTTTACATTCCCTCCCCATCCTCTTTTTTTCTCCCATCCTAAGGGAAGAGTATGTAGGTTAAACGGCCTTTTAAACATAGACAGAAAGTTTAAGCAATTGAATAAGTTTTTCTAACTTGGCAATTTTGGCTGGAAATTTGCAATTCCTAGTCAGGCTTCCACACTGTTCATTATACTGTATAATATGTTATGGAAGACATTCCTTTATGGCAGTAGGTAGAAGCCAAAATTTTATAGGCTAAGCTTATACGGGCCGCAGATAGGTTTTTAGCGCGCACACTGACAGACATACAGATACATACCCAGCCAGGAAGGCATACAGACAGACATACAAATACACAACACACACTGACAGACATACAGACAAACACACGCATACACCGACAGACATACAGAGACACACACTGACATACAGACACACACAGATATACAAACACAGACAGACATACAGATACACAACACACACTGACATACAGATACACCCACTGACAGAGATATGGATACACAAACACTGACAGACATACAGATACACAACACACACTGACATACAGATACACCCACTGACAGAGATATGGATATACAAACACAGACAGACATACAGATACACAACACACACTGACATACAGATACACCCACTGACAGAGATATGGATACACAAACACTGACAGACATACAGATACACAACACACACTGACATACAGATACACCCACTGACAGAGATATGGATACACAAACACTGACGGACATAGAGATACACAACACACACTGACATACAGATACACCCACTGACAGAGATATGGATAAACACATACAGATACACAACACACACTGACATACAGATACGCCCACTGACAGAGATATGGATACACAAACACTGACAGACATACAGATACACAACACACACTGACATACAGATACACCCACTGACAGAGATATGGATACACAAACACTGACAGACATACAGATACACAACACACACTGACATACAAATACACCCACTGACAGAGATATGGATACACAAACACTGACGGACATAGAGATACACAACACACACTGACATACAGATACACCCACTGACAGAGATATGGATATACAAACACAGACAGACATACAGATACACAACACACACTGACATACAGATACACCCACTGACAGAGATATGGATAAACACATACTGACAGACATACAGATACACAATACATAAAGCCATACGGATAGACACACATTCCATTACAGAACAGCTAGTGATTGGCAGATACAAACGATGATCCCAGCTATGTACACAAAGTGAACACCTTTAAGTTGTTCTCCAAATAAAGCGATTAACCTATTATACTGGAGATCGCTCACTTTGCAATAATTTCACCATTACAGATCTATGGCCTTGATTTCATATTTTAGAATAAGCTTTTCAAATGATCACAACCTGTCAGAAGAACTTTTCAAATTAATTATCTACAGAAGTAGCCAATAATCCACCCTGCGTGCCACGCCAGCCTAGGGCTTTGGCTAGGGTAGCCTAAAGTCAGGTTTTCACTTTGCCATGTTACTTATAAAGCCAGTATTTATACAAACGTTCGCGTAATACTGATCAATTCAATCCCTACCACCTCACTCTGAGCTACTGAGCGAGTCAAGACACAAAAACTCCACCTGTGGCTAATTATCTGGCAAACGAAATCACTGGACAAACTGCTCTCTGTTCAGGGACTGTAAAGTCGGAGATACACAGAGACACTTTGTATGGCATCGTTTACAGGAAGAGGCTCAGTCTCCCCTTGCAGTTAACGGAATTATGGTTAATGGTGTTCAGGAAGTCAGAGAAATACTTAAGAGGTTTGAAAGATACGAAATGGGCCGCAGCGTGCTTTGCACTACAAGGCACGGTGACATATAATGTAGTAAGTGCTTCGCAGTATGTTCATCATGAAATAATATGATACATAAAAGTTAACGAAGAACTTCTATACCTACCCACAGCACCGGGGAACCCTTCCCGTCTATTCTCTGCATCCCCCCCGGTTCTGAGGACCCCCTGCCACCACCACCTCGGTTTTCAATAAACTGTTCCCACACTTTTTGGAAAGTTTGAAGAGAATTCCGAACCTGTGCAGTCAATTTATCCATGCGTTAGTTGTCCTTGATTTTATTTTAGACACGGAGGCTCCTATTATGCTGCACCCCTTCTTTATTTCCCTCACCTCAAAGAAAAAATATAACATTCAAACTGTATGATAATAATAAATAGCATGAGAGGTATATCTTCCTAGCGGCAGGAACAGCCAATCAGCTTCCACCTTACAGCATAATAGGCGATGATGCATAATCTACGTCCTCTTTCTTTGCTGCTCCCTCAGTTAAGTAACACCAGGTCCCACGGTTTCTTAACTGTGGGATCTTTTAAACCTTTTAGAATTTTATCTGCTTTTAATATTTGGTAATATAGTTTATGTATTTTAAATTATGCTATTACTTATTTCTTACAGTATTTATACATTTGTTTATTCTTGGTATAATTGGCCTGTATACTTATTGATTAATATTGATTTATTAAATTTTATTTAGCTATTTGTCTATGTAATTGCTTGTGTTTTCTGCAATTGCTTGTGTTTTCTGGAACTATTTATAAAACCGGGTTCAGGGACATCTTCAGGGATTTCTGTTTCTGTTCAGCACTTTCGCGCCATTTTTTCGTGAGCCTTTTACTGTTCCAACCGCCACCCACTTTATTCGAAAGCAGCGTTCGGGAGCTTATTCTTGCGAATGCACATGGTGCCTTATACGTACGGCTATTTAGTTTTTTTGCCGCGAACGCTTCCATAGACTTGCATTCGTTTCCACGAACACTGTTCGTGTGTTTTGCCATTCGCATCGATATTTCTGTTTGCGGCAGAAATGTCTTGTTTTTTCACGCGTTTTGACGCTAGTACTGCTCCCAACGGGCGGAACTTGAAGTTGGGGTTTAGTTTTAGTGGCGGGTGGACAGTTCTGGTGTTTGTGAAATAAATTTAGATTTTATTCAACTTCTGTGAGTACACTTTCCTGCCTTTTACCCTAGATCCTCTGTTTGGGTTAATCAACCCTCTCTTAGGTTTCCACTTACTATAATTGTCAGTTCTTATTTAAAATGCAGTCTGACAAAGATGCCTTAGCATCCTCTGGGTCTACTGCACCCATTCAGGTTGTTTTTGATACATTCCCAGGCAGGGCCGCCATCAGGGCATGACAACCGTAACGGTTGTCATGGGCCCGGCGGTCCTGGGGGGCCCGGACTGCTCAGGTCGTCCGGGCCCCACATTCAGTGGGTACATACCGGGTCGCAGGGGGCCCTGCGACCCCGGTATGTACCCACAGGGCCAGCCTCTTCACCTGGGGGGCCCAGCAGCCGGTCACCCCAGGGCCCCCCAGAGGCTGGCCCTGCAGACACCCGGCGGGCGGTCCGGCACGCGAGGGAGCACTCTGTGTGTGCTTCCTCTTCAGCTCCCTCGCGCACCGTACTGATGCCGGAGCCGGAAGATGACGTCATCTTCCGGCTCCGGCAT